TCTCCCACCCCAAACGGCGCATCTTCACGGGATGCACCTCAACCGTGTTTGTGAAGCAGGAGGTGAGACTGGCGCCAGGGGCGGGGGAAGGCGGCAGAGAAAAGCTGAGTGTGTTTGAAGTTAAAGCTGCAAACCAGTGCGGTCTCACCTGAGCAGGCCTGGGGCTGGGGGTGCAGCTCCTGCTCGGCCAGAGCTCTCGGGGGCTCTAAGCAGTAGCCAAATACCAACCCCCACCTTGACCCCATGGAGCTCCAGGGTGATGATGAGGGGCAGGGACAAAGCAGGGGACATCTCTGGCTTCCTGGGTCACAGACACAACCACCCACAGCCCTGCCCCACTACCTTCTCACCAGCAGAGACCTGCAAAGCCACGGCCAGTGACAAGTCTTAACACTTCATTCTCTTCTGGACATCCATCCCAACACAGCAGGTTCTTTACAGTCAAATTCTTTAGGTTCTGTAGTGGCTGAGAGGCAGCAGGCAGGACACAGCCATGAAAGGAGAGGGTTGGCCAGGGGGCTTGCATACATTGCTCCTCCACATCACTGCCAGAATCCTCATCCTAGTCACAGGCAGGACTCAGAACTGAGCAGCATGGTGAAGTCTGGACTTGCTATTGCACACCAACAAGGTGGTACTGGAGCTGCCAGTTACCAGCCCTGATGGGGCAGGAGAGAAGCCTCCCTCCAGCTGCCCGAGCTCACCCGTGGCCACAACAAGCATCGTGGCTTTGCAAGAAACCCACAAGAGGAGTGTTCAAGCTTCAAAACTTTATTCAAGCAGACAGCAGGTAACCCAGAAACAGAGTTTAACACCACACACCAGTCAGATGCCAGCACCAAGTAGATCCCAACATCCCAGTAGCACGGTTGTGCTGCCTAGCCAGGAGACAGGCTTTGTCTTTCTCTGCTGGTTATAAAGCATGCGACTAAGTCTGACACCAAGATGCATGCAAATACTACAATGAGGACTCCCAGACAGCAGCTCTTAAATGTCATCCAGAGAAGTGTCACTAGGGAACAGTAACACAGACAGGGCTGTACACATGCCTCAGAGACAGCAGGGCATTAAAGAAAAGCAAGAAGTCGCACACGCCTGGGCATCAGGCTTCCAGAAAAAAGAATGCAAATCCAACCCTCCAAGCTGGTGAGCACTGAGCTCAGTAACTAGGCTGGGGGCTCGTTCTTGCCCATTCCTTATGGAGGCCTGAGTCTCTGCACCAGCTGAACAATGTTCTTTCCCTCCAGGACTACTGCCAGGGCTCAGGTCACTCTCTTGGTTTAAGTTTAAATGCCAGATCAAACTGTTGGCAGAAGTTTGCTGCTTTCTGGGGACAAGCAGCGCAGTTTAGCAGGTGTCACACAGCAGCAGTGCTCAGCTTCAGGTCAGGGAGCAGAGAGGCACCATGAGAAACGTGTCACTGACTTCCCCCCCTCCACACAACACCCAGGAGGCAAGACTGGAGTTTCCAGCAAGACCTGGGGAGCAAGCAGCTTCCCATGCACGCACACCAGCGTCATCCCAGCACCAAAGCAGGCCAGCCTCTCAACTAGTACACACACCAGTCCGGAGTGGTGACCAGAGCCCTTCAGACAGCAGTCAGCCCCAAGTCCTACGTTCACCTTTAATTCCCCAAGTCTTTGTAACGGATTTGAAAGAAGTTTACTAAATCACAGAGCACACAGTCTAACTAGCCTAGTTTTCACTAAACATTTAAGCACCAGTTCTGTGACCGGAGGAAGGAAGCCACTTCAAGACAGCACAGCTATTTGAAACAGTTCAGCCTACGGAGAAAGCAGAGTCTACGGAAGCACATAACAGATTGAAGTTTGTATCTGCATCACCACAGGAGAGTGAAAAATTAGGACTGCAGGAAATTGATCCATGTTAGATACTAACCATCAAGCTTCGCAGATGACATTGCATGATAAGCATAGAACAATTATGGGAAACACTGTCCCCGATAATTACGTACACCCATAGTGCAACATATGGAGGTCACTGCCTCCGATATAACACTGTGGTAGGCAAAAACTACCTTGTTCTTTACACATTATGGAAGACACTGCTCCCGATAATGTCACTTAGGTTTCATGATACATAAGGTACTGGAAGTTTGCAGGAAGCTGCCATTTAAAAATCGGGCCAATGCCTAATCCGAGGTACAAGACGTTTGTGTGTGTTGCCGCAGATGGAGCTGGGGCTACGTGAGCCAGCCTCTCTGCCAAACCAGGGCCAGGAAGGAAGCTGTGCTCCCTGTGCAAGCACACAGTGTCCAGAAAGTGCGGTGAGGAGGGAGTCTGAAGCCCACAGAAGGGCACAGACACTGCGGGGAAGCCAAATTTCTAGTATTTGAGTTTTGACTCAGGTCTTCAGCATTTCAAGGATCACTTTGGAGCGCAACCCGGAGACTTGCTACCAGGTTTACATCTTCAAGTTTACACCTTCGAGTTTCTTCTAGAGACGTGTTTTTGCTGCAGAAAGCTTAATTGCTAGTTTTCAAAGACTTTTTTTTGGAGGCACCTGTTTAGATTACTTTAAATGCAAAGTTCCAGTATCTTGTTTGATTGTAATAGCAGATGCTGCTTTATTCAAAAACGACAGTATAACTGTCATAATTATGGAAGGCACTGCTTCCGATAATTATCTTCTATTAAAAAAACACACCATTTATAGTGAACGCTGTCACTGATAAATAAATAAACAATTAAGTATCTCAGTGCCAAACAAGAGCCATCCTGCAAAATGGCATCAGTCAAACACAGTTTGGCCAGCAAGAGACTCGATTTCACAAAAGGCCCCAGAGCAGCAAGGTCTGAAGTGTCAGTCTAGAGCCACTTCTCAATGTCACAGGACTCACTGAGGTGCCAGCTAAGGATATAAAGGGGGCATTAGATAATCTTTGGGTTGTTTTCCCTGGGTAGAGACCTGGCTTGGCAGAATCAAGCCTCCAAGATGTCATTGGGACCCTGCTGTTGAGTAAAGGCAGGCTGGGCACTTCAGAGCTTGCTGATGATCCAGCACTTGCAGGCTATTACTATGTTGTTTTATTTTTGAACTACACGTTGGTCTCTGCAGCTCCCTGCCAGAGAAGAGATCCTCATTACAAGCGTTAAGAGGAATCCACTCCCTATTTTGTTGCTAAGTTTTAGGGGACCAACAATTAAAACCCTAAATAGATGAGGTACCTCCCCACTCAAGGTGCCAGTTTGGGAGTCACCTGAGCAGTTAGTTCTCAAGTACACTGGAAAGCAAGCCCCACAAGCAGGTGTACATGACTTGTTTGGACGGTGGTCAGATGGGAGCCTGGTCAGAGGAGATTTCACGGTAATCTTAGTACCTGCTTTAAAATTGCTTCCCGTGAATTTGTCAAGGTGGGATTTAAATTTTATGTTCAACTTTGGTCTAAAAAGGTCTGTTGCCAGAAAATCTACCAAAAAATTATGCCATGTTAGGGAGTGGGTTTCCCTAATCCTGTACCTTAACCAGGTGTCTGCCGTGTCTAGAATTCATTATCTGTATCCCAGATATCACCCACTAAGGCATTGGCAGCCCCTTTAATGGTCCAGGTCACCAGGGCCAGCTGCTCTTTCAGCATGTTCACATCCACACTGTTCGGGCTGGTACTCAGCAGCTGTAGGTTCTCCAGCAGACTCTGCAGGGTATGGGAGCCTCTGCCGAAGAAGACGTGGCGAAAGGGAGCATCTTTTGGCGAGAGGTACGGGGAGAGGAAGTCATACTCCACCTGGAGTAGAGGTGCAAATTTAGGGTTATAATTTCACCTCCCAAGTTTTTCTTTCCTGCCTCATCATTTGGCCCCAGCCTCCGATACCCAGCCAGCCTTTTCCCGCTGCAGCTCTGTGAGGGCTGGACCCTCTCCCAGTAGCAAGCACAGAAGTTAGTCATGTTGACACTAAGCAAGCAGAAGAGACATTGGTCTGCACAGTGCCCATGGCTCCTAAGGAAGAGGCTCATCCCAGCCAGCACTCTCTTCCTTTGTGAAGAAAGAAAAACCAGTTGTAGATACCCACCTTCATGATCCTGTCATTCAGGGCCCTGCGGACGATCCTGTTTTCCCTGTCACTGTTTGCAATGTCTCTCCTCAGTGCATCTGTAGCTCGCTGGAAGTCACCACGGGCAAAAAACAGCCAGTTCAAGGTCAGCCCCAGCGCCTGTGAGGGAGGAGCTGTTAGCAAACCTGATTTTCTTCTTTTGCTGCTCTCTTACGAAGAGAAAGTGTTGGTTGTTTTGTTTTGGTTTTTTTTTGCCAGTTTAACCAAGTAGCAGAGCGAGTTCCTGGCAGGCTCTTCTGAGGTCACTGAGCTCAGTGACGTCCCTCCCCACCCACAGGTTCTCTATAAGAAGCCTACAGCTTTCAGCAGAGGTGCAAATGAGATGCAAAGCTGCACAATAACCAGACAAGAAACCATCCACATCCATTTCCTCAAGAGCTTACCACAGCCAGATTAGCTACATCTGTCTGCCACAGCTACTCTGCCTGCACTGCTCTATAGGGAACATTGATTCGGGTCACATCTTGCTACACTCTTGTGGCTAAAGGAGGAAGATGTCCACCCCGTTGTATTCAATGGCAGCAGAGCCTTATTAGCACTATTACAGCCTTCTGACCCCGTAACCAGTCTACAGGGATTCAGTGGACTTGGAGCCTTTCTTACCTTCACATTCCGATCGTAGGGCAAAATCTTCTCCTGAAAAGCTAGCAATTCTTCACCATATCTCTCAAAGTCCAGGAAGAGCTCATGATCATGAGTCAGCCTGAGAGCTATTTGTCCAGCAACTTCTGCAGCAGCACGCATAAGAGCATACAACTTGTCAGTTGTCCTCAGGTTCTCCACAGTGTCCTGAGAAGTGCCCAAGAAGGGATATTCCTCATCTTTCTACAAGAAAGAAGGCACTGAAGTTAGGCAAGAGTGCTTCTTCAGCTAGGATTTTTCACCTCCCGCTAAAAGTTTGCTTGCTATTTCCACCACATCCTATCTCCTTGTGCCACTAAGTAGCAAGGCCCGAGTGGCAAAACTTCAAAGCACAGGGGAAGGCAATGGAGCTCCTGCATCTCATCCCTCACAGCTTCCAGTGACCATCACGATGCTCTGCTAGTTTGTTAGACCCAAGGACATGTAGACCTTTTACCTGCTCAGAGTGCACTGCAGAGGCACAGGTGGGTAAACCCCAGCACCCAGTTTGGCATGTGCTGGCAGCACCCTCCAACCCTTCTTGGCAGGATATCTCAAGGTTTTTTTTGTGGAACAAGTGTGACACTAACAAAATCCAAGCATTCATAAGCAGAAGAAGCTGTTATCAGACAGGCTCCCACAGCTGCACCCCTGCAGTAACAGGGTAGGCTGCCTGGCTGATGCCATTTCTGCCAGCCCCAAGCTGCAGCAACAGACCAGAATAGCCTGAGTCAGTATTTGCTCTGGCCAACAGTACAGCTTCCCTAATGTGTTTTGCTCGCTGACCAGCAGGCTGTAGCACAGTCTTTCACTGAAGCAACAACAGCTTAACATCTTTTTAGTGCTTTTAGCTTCTGAATTATTGACATCTGAGCCTCCAGAAGAGCGAGTGCCCCCTCTCCCAACAAAACACGAGCGTTCAGGTCTTTGGAACAGAGACCGTAGGCCAACCATACCACAGGAGCAGCCTTCACAGCAAGTACTGCCACAGTCAACGGGTCCAGAGGGTGTACCTCCTTCCCCAGAGAAGCTCCTGCATGGACAATGAGCTTGGGCTGGCCCCATGTGCTCTTCCATCCTGGAGAATGGAACTTCCCATGGAATGAGTACACCAGGCAGGCAGACAATACTTACATTGCAGAAACCAAAGGAAACCACCGGGATTCCCGAGTAAGCCAGGAAAGGGAATGCTGCATTATCCAGACCAAGGGGAACACTGCAAAAAGTATTGAGTAGTTACCAACTGGTTTGGACATCCCAGGAGAAAAGCTACAAGCCCTAGAGTTGAAGCTCTGAGCCAGCTGAACTACCCTGTCTAGACAAGACTGGTTTTGGCAAGGAGACCCAGGCAAGAGCTGAGGGCTGCTCGTCCATTTCCGGCCACTGGTCTTTGTACAAGGCTGCTCTTGCCCTACAAAAAAGGTGTCTGGGCTGCCTACAGGCAGCTTGGGGCAGCACTAAGTACAGCTAGTGTTGTACTGTTCACACCTGATCCCATTGCAGCAGGTAGAGCCCGCCCCAGACAATGGTATGACACTTCAGCACAAAGAGCAGAAGCCATTTAGTTTGTTCCTCGATGGAGATTTGCTTTCCCAAAGAACAGGATGACAGTACTTACACTGTTTTCACCCAGTCAGAGCCAACTCTGTCATACAGGCTTCCCGATTCCTTTGTTGGGTCCTTCACCTGCACAGAGACAACAGTCACTGCATTTGTTCTGACCTCTGCTTGGCCTTCCAGGTCTATCCCGGAGTTTGCATTGCTGTGCAGATGCCAGCCCGGTATGCTCCCCTGACCTTTCTCCACAAGGCATGGTTCACACAGGACAGGCATTTACCTCCCACTGAGCTGTGGCATTTGCTGATTTTAGATTCTGCATGTGTGAACTGCAATTCCCAGAGCCCAGCTGACTTCAGACAGGGCTCTCCAGAGTATCTCAGCCCTTTCTCCTAAATGGGGCTTTTTCCTCAGAAGGTGCCAGCTCAGGAAAGTGACCCAGCACAGCTCTAGCTGCTCTCAGATCCTCCTTAAAACCTGTCAGATTGTTTAGCCCAAGACCCTTCAACTCACCCCCTTCATAGTTCTCTCCAGTAATGTGTACAGCAATGGGCTAGCAGAAATCTTCATGTGCTTGACACCTGCAAGAAAGCAAGGGTGTTTGACATTGCTGGCAAAATGCAACTCTAGTCCTATGCAGTTTCAAGAAACTTAAAAGTAGCAGGTTACCTAGGACTGCAGCATCCAAGTTAATATAAGTGAAGACTTTGGCATGCAGCGTGGCAGAGTATCCCTAGAACAAAACAAGTATTTCAAGATGAGCAGTAGCAGTACAACATCAGGATGTTTAATCTACAGGAACAGGCAATCACAATTGTGCAGTCATCACGTGGTAGTCTACGAAAGAAACAGTACCTCCAGCCATTCAGTAGCACCCACAGCTCCGTAGTCTCCTGCACTCCAGCTGGCAAAGATGATACTGCGCCTTGGTTTGTAGCCATCTGCAAGAGAGAGAGAGACTGAGACATCTGCCCTTCCCCCATGGAGATGTAGATTAGCACTGAGGGCCTGGGCTGATGAATCGCCTGCTCCTCAGACAGAGCTGAAGCATTCTGGCTGCTGCAGACAGACCTGCACACTAGCGGCTGCATAGACACCGCACCCTGCCCCGCCATGCTGCAGAGCGGTGCAGGAAAACCATGCTGTCTGCATTTCCTCTTTTTGTTTAGCTGCCTGAGTCCAAAATTAACCCTGGAGCTGCCAGCACTCCAGCTGGTCAGCTCCTTCAGTGTTTTCCCACCTTCAGGGCTGGCTGTCCAACAGACAGCTCAAGTTTGAGGTTTGCCTCATGTGTTATCCAAGAACATTCTTTCATTCAAGCCATACCAGATATAAGCAGGCAGCATCTTGGAAGCGAGTGCTCACTGCAGACAAGTTGTGTATGTTGGACAAGCTTCTCAGGAAGCTTTGTCAGATTCCCTACGCCTTCCCAAAGGATTATTTTGCAACTGGGCTCTCCAATGTTAACAGATGCAGAGCTAAACCTGCACCACTTCCCACCCCATGCTTCTGTGCACAAATATTTACCATTTTTCACCATGTCTGAAATCACACGGGCAAGTTCCAACAACATGGCAGTTCCAACACCAGCCTTGGCTGCTCCTGGGCCCCAGGAGTCTCTCTGGGCTCCAATCACCACATACCGATCTATAAAGGAGACATCAAGATCTGAATTGCAAGCTCCACGTTGCAAACACCGATTATCAGAAAAACGGTTTTGAGCTTCGGTACTAGGAACAGAGCATGGAGTCTGACCCCTGAATCTGGCACGCTGCTCGCTTTCTTTCAGCCCTTCCCTGGCAGCAAGGTTTGGCTTTTTCCTTGACCCTTAGGGAAGGGTCTTGATTCTGCTGAGGAAGTGGCTGTTTCTGTCTGGGAGCAGCTGCCATGTTCTGATTAGCACAGAGAGAAAGGGTTCCCCTCAAGACTGAGCTACAAGGCAGTTGCTGTTACCTGGTTCTTCAAACCCCTTGATAGCACCAAAGATGTTCAGAATCTTCCTGTCTGCCATAACGTTGTTCACGCTTAGTTTCACTCTCATCTTGCTCGTGCTGCTCAGCATCACCTTACATCCCAGGACACCACCTTTCCACATCGGAAGGCATTCATCTCCATCCATTTTGCTGAGGGAAAAGAGAGATCCTTCGAACTCATTATCCAGCTCTGACCTCATTCAGCTACCCTGTGAAAAGAGCAAGCCTGCAATTGCAGGTGCAGCCTTGTTCAGGGCCTGCTCCGGAAATAGCTTGCAGTCCTGTACCATTAATTATGCAGAGAGAGGTAGGATGCAGAGGCCAAGAGGAATCCAACACTAGATTAAGCTCGGTCTTTAAGACATGGACATAAGTGAAGTTTCTCTAGACAGTTCCATTAAGTGATCTCTGCAATACACAGCAGAGACCAGCAGAGAGCTCCCAGGGCTCGCAGCACTTCAACAACATCCTCATCCCTGCAAGAGGGCCACAGCAGCTTAGCCTGCAAGCCAGGAGAAACAATTACCTGAACAGCTTGCCTACTGCTTGGCTAGAGATAGTCTGAACAGCAATGCGAGGTAGTCCAGAAGATACCAGTGGTGGGAACTGGGTGTGGTTGAAAGAAGGGAAGCCTGGGGTGAAAGGGTCTCCAGTTCCAAGGTGGGCCTGTGAAAAGCAAGAGGAGTCCTCAAGTCTCAGAGGAGCCCAACAGTTTCCATCTACACAAGGGCATGAAGCACTGCTGAGCCAGAGGCCTGCAGAAGGACTGCTGCAGTCCACAGTGAGAAGGGTTCAAGAGAAGAGCAAACAGGGGAGCCAGTCACATACTCACATGTCCGAAGGGGACAAGTTCATCTGTATTCCTGTAATCGTAGGGGTCCAGGTACATCAGGGCACCAACTGCTCCTGCCTCTTGGGCATTTGCAACCTGAAGCAAAGAGTAACATGAACTGTACGTTTGCACTGCAAGCAAGGGGAGTTAAGGCGAGTACATGGCGCAATGGCATGAAGGGTTGTGCTCAATGTCCACCTCCACAACAGGTTTTAACAGCTATCTGACAGTGACAGATACACACGGAAGCTGAATACTAGCAGCTCAGTCCTACTCCAGGCAGAGGGTGTCTAACACCCTTTTGAACAGCTAGGACATTCCACGGTTAGTGTCTCAGTCCATGGTTCCTTCAGCTCATACTTGCTTCTCAGAGCAGCTTATAAGAAAGATGTTATTTAATTTTGATTATGCTCCATCTGTTTTCCCAAGATTAGGTTAATCTCAAGACAAGATAAGCAGCCACTGAAGGCTCATCTTCACATGGAAAATGGAGGCAGAGTGGCCTCGTCAGGTCCCTGTTTATTACACCTACAACCCAGCTGCCTCCGATACGCTGCCAGTACAAACATTCTTGCAAGGCTAAACACCAGTTTGAAAAGCGGGAAGGGAACTGGAGAACCAGTGAGCACCTCTTGTGGAAGCACTTTTCAGCTCTGCCTGTGTCTGTGATGCATGCAGTGACTGGAAACAGCCCTATGCCCCAGCCTCCCCAGGAGCACCCATCTGAGGGGCAGCTCTGGGTCAGACCTAGAACAGGCTTAGGTACAGAAGGACTTGGATCCTTTAGGCTGCTTGGCCATTCAGTTCTACTCGCTACAGAGGAAACATTACAGTAACACGCAAGGCAGCTGACTGGGCATGTAGCACCAGCACCTTCACTTGGTCCATGTAAACAGTCAGCAAGGGCCCAAGTGAGACACTGCAGCCAAGCTTTGAAAGTACTTGGCTGCAGCAGCAAGAGGTGCTCTGCAGGCAAGGTTGTCCTGCTTCTAGCAGCCTTATTTCTGCATCTAGCAATACCAGCCAGCTCTACACCCTGTGGCCCCCAGGCTGCCTCCCAGCTTCATCGTTCCAGCTGCTTGGCTGTCCCAGCCAGACTGCCAGAGGCCAGGAAGAATGTCACCATGAACAGAAACCAGCTCTGCTCAGTCTTGGCGTTCAGAACTGCACACAGAGGCTTAGTGGGGAAAAAAAGCAATACCAGACCTGCAGGAACAAGCCTACATATACGAGCTCTGGAGACTTGAACCAAGGCACAGAGGTGTGTCTTTAAGAGGAGGAAGCATAGTCTTCTATCACCTAGTTTGGCCAAGCTTTGGGGCACAGACTGCTTACCTTCTCAGCAAGGGTTATTTTTCCAGCTCTGAAGATGACTATAGTTTCATTCAGTGAAACACCTTGCTTCTGGATCTTCTGAAAATCAGTTTTCAGTCCATAGTTCACATAGACTGGTTTGCCCTGGGACAGAAACACTGGTTATAAATGCAGCAGTCCTGTCAGTAAAAAACTTGCAACAGCCTACAGTAACAGTGACTCCTGCTAACAGTAGGGAGTTGGCTGAATGGTAGCACTCAGAGTTGTGGTCAACTGCTCAATGTTCAAGTGGAGACCAGTGATGAGTGGTGTTCCTCAGGGGTCAGTATTGGGGTTGGTGCTGCTTAATATCTTTGTCAGTGACGTGGACAGTGGGATTCAGTGCACCCTCATCAAGTTTGCCGACAACACCAAGCTGTGTGGTGTGGGCAACACTCCGGAGGCAAGGGATGCCATCCAGAGGGACTCAGACAGGATTGAGAGGTGGGCCCATACAAATCTCATGAAGTTCAACAAGGCCAAGTGCAGCGTCCTGCGCCTGGGTCAGGTCAATCTCAAGCACAAGTAAAGGCTGGGTGGAAAATGGATTGAGAGCAGCCTGGAGGAGAAGGACTTGGGTGTGTTGGTTGATGAGAAGCTCAACATGAGCCAGAAATGTGCACTTGCAGCCCAGAAAGCCAACTGTATCCTGGGCTGCATCCAAAAAAGCATGGCCAGCAGGTCAAGCGAGGTGATTCTGCCCCTCTACTCTGCTCTCATGAGACCCCATCTGCAGTACTGCTTTCAGCTCTAGGGCCCCTAACACAAGGAGGACATGGAGCTGTTGGGGCAGGTCCAGAAGAGGGCCACGAAGATGATCTGAGGGCTGAAGTACCTCTCCTATGAAGACAGGCTGAGAGAGTTAGGGTTGTTCAGCCTGGAGAAGAGATGGCTCCACGGAGACCTTCTAGCAGCCTTCCAGTAATTAAAGGGGGCCTACAAGAAAGCTGGAGAGGGACTTTTTGCAAGGGTATGTAGTGATAGGACAAGGGGCAATGGCTTAAAACTGAAAGAGGGTAGATTTAGATTAGGTATAAGGAAGAAATTCTTTACAATGAGGGTGGTGACGCACTGGAACAGGTTGCCCAGAGAAGCTGTGGATGCCCCATCCGTGAATGTGTTCAAGGCCAGGTTGGATGAGGCTTTAAGCAACATGGTCTAGTGGAAGGTGTCCCTGCCCATGGCAGGGGGTTGGAACTAGATGATCTTTAAGGTCCCTTCCAACCCAAACCATCCTATGATTCTACAATTCTATGATCCAAGCTCAGCAATGTAAACTCTGATCACATACTACATGCCTGTTGGAGTAGCACTTCTGTCAAGGTTCCTGTCTGGATCCCAGCAGAGAAGTTTTAACAGTTACTTCTGCATCTTGCTGAAGTAATAAAACTATGTGGGCCCACTCTTCGCCCCAATCTCCCCACCACCATCCCCAGCTCTCCAACTGAAGAGGGCTTTATACACTCCATATCTTGAAGGGACATATTTTGGACATTGCCACCTGCTAAGCATGCAAGCACATTTCCAGGATCTTCTTGGAATCACTTACAACAACTGAGTCATTCTTGCTGTATGCCACATATGCATCGGGACTCTCCAGTTCGTCCTCTGCATCATCTTCCAGAATAGACACTTGGTTGTTGCTACTGTTAAATGCAAAAAGACAGTGTTATGTTCTTTCATACATAAACTCCATATTTAACTATCTCACATATTTCAGTCTGTGCCCTCGCAATTCTGATCAAGCCAACGCAGAGCCTGAAACACGCAGACTCGTATCAGTACTTCCATGCAAGAATCTTTCCGGTTATTCGGAGACATTAACGAAGGCTAATTTCGAAGACAAGTAGCAGGAAGAATCAGTGCTTCTGAGTATCTTAGTCCCCTTCTAAGAGGATCTAAGAAAATTCATTTCCTCCTGACATGAAGGGGAAAGTAAGACGTGAGGGTATGAGCTGTCAGCCAACACAATGCCTGTCGATATCCTCCTGAGCTACTACAGGAGCCACTGCCAGGTCCACAACACCCGTCCAGGTGACAAGACCGAGTCGCTCATGCTACCAGTTTTAGGCGCAAGGAATCTGCCCTTCAGCTGAGTTTTCACTCAAGTTTGTTTTCTCTCTGTTTCCTAAGCATGCTTTGAGGAAACAGCTGTCCCAGGAAAAACCCAGAGGGCTGCTACCAGACCCTCTGGATTTAGAAATCTGCTCAGCTAGATTGAGGTCTTGTTTGGAGAGGGGTAACTGACTCACAGTTTTAGCACTGCTTTCAGCAGAAATCACATGTTTGCCAGGACTACAAATATCCATTTTGCAAGGAAAAGATCTGCATCTCTTCATTAACGTACCTGCCTTTGACCTGCAGCTTAATGTAGTGCTCATCGTTCCACACTTCATCCAAGTGGAAGCTGATGAACTGGTCATGAATGTAGCTGGCAATGCTCTCATCTTCACTCTGGCCAGCTTCAAAAGAGTACTTATTTGCTCTTTGCCTGTAGGTAACAGATGTATAGCTTAGGCTACAGCACCAGTTTGCACTGCAGTGCTCCAGCCTGCAAACCCAAGCTGGATGGGCCACTTAAGCCCACATTTAACTACATGCCACCCCACAACATCTTTAAGGCTCATGTTCTCCAAAGGAGCTCAAGTTCTGCTCACAGGCTCTGCCTTTCCCATAGCTGTAGTTAAGCTTTCTGGAATCATTACCTCAAGCTGTCTTCAAGATGTCTGCTTGACAGTTTATTTGACAACAGGGCTCTGAGGTCAGGCCAGTATAAGACAGGTGGTCCAGGAACCTCTTCTTCCTCAGTTTGATCATCATCCGCTAAGTAAGATGTGGTAGGAGTCATCTCACACTTGCCACTTCCATCCAGACACCTGACTGCTTTCTGCATTCGTCCACGGTAACTCAAGTAGCCGATCAGAAACCCTATGGACGGAACAGGTACTTCTTTGTGCTGCAGAAAGATGACTAAACCAGCCCCACACCATACCACTGCATTTAAAGCAGCTTCAGGGTTAAGATGCATATCTGTTCTCATATCATTTTTGACAAGCTGGCACGTTTTAAGGTATACTGTAAATCAGATTGTGTGCTTGGCAGAATCCCTCCAGTGTGGAATGCTGATAAAAAGGAAAAGGGACAAGTTGAAGAAGCTGACAAGGGAGAAGCCGGCACAGGGAAGCTGTTAGCTTAGCAGACAGAAAATGCATTCTGAGGCATAGTCAAAAGCAAAGCCAAAACATGCGCGTGCCCTGCTGCTTGTAACCAATGGTAACTAAGCGAAGGTCACGTGGACACATCGTGACTGGAAGAATAATCTATAAAAGCTGCTTGTAAATTGCAATAAACATCTTTGATATCGCATCTACGGAGTCCGTGCACTAACCCACCGCCCCAACAGGGACCTGATATTCAAGTCGACTGACGGGCCAAAGTCGCGGAAGGAGGGCGAACAGCAGCGGAGCCTGGCTGAACGAATTTACCAGCGGGATACAAGAGCTGGGGAGTCCAGAATGAATTTACCAGCGGGATACAAGAACTGGGGAGTCCGGATCAAGAAGCCCTGCAGGAGGCAGGTGAGCAGCCAGGGATGATGGGGTCTTCTGTATCGGCCCAGGTTAAATGATAGGTTAAACGATAAAACATTAAACGATAAAAATCTTTAACGTTTTTATGAAAATCCTCGGGAGATGTGAAGAAACAAGGACCCAAAAGACAGTGGAAATAAGAACCAAAAGAGAGAAAAAAATAGGAACTGAAAGAGAGAAAAAAATAAGGGACAGCTACAGAAAGATAGAAAAACTGAAAAGCAAAATGTGTAAGTTAGGATTGTTAAGTTTAATAAGTAACTACAGAGGCCTCACTAGAAAATTACTGATGTTTTAGACCAAGGACAATAAAGACCCCACCAGCGAGTCGCTGGATTTCTGTGTGTATTGTTTTAAGCCAGAGAACCACGGAGTTCTCACCAGCTAACCACTGGGAGCTCTTTTCTTGTATTAAGAAACCAATGAAGTGGTCACGGACACCAGTTTTGCTGCTTGAAAACCCCCCTTTGTTACCCCTTCCTATCTTGATTTGAATATCAAGGATTATAATCAGTAAAAACAAGTAGAATTAACCAATGACTGTTATAGGATAGGAATATTGATAAGGTGATGAACTAACAAAAACAATCATTTTAAAGGTCAAATTTAAGAGCGAGAATAATACGTAATTTTACGTAAAGAGCTTATGTAATGATGATTCAACAGAAAGTGTATAAAAACCTATGGATTTTGATGCTAAGGTGGACACGCTTGGACGGAGCTATCCCCTGTGTCCCCCAGCGCTGGAATAAGGGAGTGCCTGTTCATCTACCTTGTGTAGATGAATTTTCTTCCTGGCTGCTAACAGAGATAAGGAGAAGCATGAAACAATCAGGACTCACTTTGCCATATACAAAAGGGTTACTGCAACCAGTATTTGCCACAAATCTTTTTTTTGTCTAATGACTCCCAGACGAGATGTTGCGCATGCACAGTGCCAGCGGACATGTCACCAGCAGTTATGGAGTGCGAGCAGCCGGAGTTGAGGCAGCAACAACAAGAAGGCGTTGATGGGGGCAGCCACACTGGGGCCGGCCAAGGGGAGGGGGGGCTACCCGGCCCCCACCCCCCCCCCTCCACCCGTGGCCCAGGTTTTACATCTAACACTTAAATTGGATCATCTCGTTCAGTATTGCGGGAAATAACTAATCCTCTTCTGTTCCAACAATTTCCACAGTTAATATCAGCATTGCAAAACTGTAAACATGCACATTTCATTGCACACCTGTGAGCGCACAGCATGCTTCCAGGGCCTACAGCAGAAGGGAACAGGCGAGCTGACCCTCTCACGAGTGCAGATCTGGTACCAAACTCGTAAATGCAGGCCAAAATCTCGCACGACTTCTACCATCAGAATGCTGATGCCATTAGGTGACAATTTGGCTTAACACAAGAGCAAGCCCGCTCAATCATACCACCGTGTAGTAGCTGTCAAAATATGATCACGCCACCAATGTATGGCGTTAATCCTCGTGTTTTATGCTCGCAGGAGCTTCGGCATACACCTCTCATCAGACACGTATTTTTGTCATCATGGGGTATGGAGCATGTTACTGGTATTCCTTACAATCCTACTGGGCAAGCAATCATAGAATACGCTATGGTACTTTGAAAAATATGCTTTTAAAACAAGAAGGGGGAATGATAGGGAAATCTCCCAATGAAAGAATAGCTAAAGCGTTATAGGTGTTCCATTTCTTAAATCAATGAAAAGATGATCTAGCTCCGATGGCTAAACATTTTGGGATGGATAAAATGTCACATATTAGTCAAAATCAGGCACAGGCAGGGTTACAGCAGGTGGCTTTCCAACAACTGACTGAACTGGCTATGAGAGCATTAAGACGTGTCCCTGATTTTGGGACAGGGGAGGCTTCCTTTGTTTCCATTCGGCAGGGAGCACAGGAACCTTGTGAACATTTCCTTGATTGGCTACAAACAGCAGTTCAGAGACAACAGAAAATCCGGCTGCTGCAGATGTCTAGTGATTCCAGTTAGCAATGGACAATGCTAATGCAGGCTGCCGGCGAGCTATTGATCCTATTAGAAATCGGGCAAAACAACTGCAGATTTAATAAAGGTGTGTCAGAATGCGGGCTCGGAACACTATAAAGCAGAGGTATTGGCAGCTGCTTTGGCACAACAGATGGTTACGGCCCGAGCAGCTGTTGCTCCTGCAGACAAGAAGGGTCTATCACCTAAAAATAGAAATCAAAGCAAAACGGGAGCTCCGACTCAACTCTGCCCACGTTGTAATAAGGGATATCACTGGGGAAACCAATGCCGACCTAAGTTTGAGAAACAAGGCAAACCTGTTTCAAGAAATGGGAAAAGGGGTGCGCGATCCGCTGCCCCGAAAACTCACAACAGGGTCAATCAACCTGCAATGTACCCTGGTTGGACACAGGGTCCACATGAGTTGAACAATCCGTCGCTGTCGTGCCCTCTAGCCCTCCACCTCAGGGAGTGCAGGGCTGGATTTGGCCACAGCAGAATCAACAGTAATCACTGACACGTCAGTGCATTTAATTCCTACTGGCGTCTTCAGTCCTATGCCACCTATGCCACAAGGATTATGCGCACTATTGCTGGGACAATCATCCACCATGAAATCAGGATGGTAACCGATTCTGAGTATAAAAGGAAAATAAAAATTATGGCATGGACTCCTTCACCAGCATGCACTCTAGCACAATTGCTTTTGATGCCTCGAAGCACCATATCGCCTCGATTATGTAACACAGAGGTATAGGAGCATTTGCTAGTACAGGCCAAACAAAATTTTTTTTTTTGGACACAGAAAGTCACGGCTGCACAAGCTCTTTTAACAATAGCCATTAATGGGAAGGCTTTTTCCGGCCTAGTTGACATTGGGGCTGACTGTCTATAGAGGCTAAATTTTTAGTGTGGGTCACTGATGGCCAGCCCCGACTCAAGCCAGCCTGGTTCACTGACAAGCCAGTCTGGGTCAATCAGTGGCCATTAAAAGGTGAGCAGCAGGAGTGGGCTCAAAAATTAGTCGATGAACAGCTCAAATCAGGACATATAGCTCCCTCCACTAGCCCATGGAATACTCCAATATTTGTTATCCCAAAGAAGTCAGGAAAACGGAGATTATTAAAAGATTTAAGAGCTATTAATGCAATCATGTCACCAATGGGTGCATTACAACTGGGTGTACCAAATCCTACTATGATTCCAGAATGTTGGCATTTGATGGTGATTGATTTAAAAGATTGGTTTTTTACTTTTTTTTTTTTTTTTTTTTTTTTTTTTACACCCTGACGATTGTCCTACATCTGCCTTTTCAGTTCCAGTGCTTAACAATGAACGACTCATGCAGCAATATCATTGGACTGTACTGCCTCAAGGAATGATGAATAGTCCTACAATTTGTCAATTGGTGGTAGATGATGCTCTCCATCAGGTCAGACAGCAGATCAAGCTCCACAGATTGTACACACCTGCCCTGACTGTCAAGGTATTGTGCCTTCAAATACCCCAGCAGGAGTAAATTCAAGAGGTTTATGTGCCAATGCTGAGCTTCTCATCAACCAACACACCCAAGTCCTTCTCTAGGCTGCTCTCAATCGATTCTCTTCCCAACCTGTACTTGTGCTTGAGATTGCCCTGACCCAGGTGCAGGACCTTGCACTTGGCCTTGTTGAACTTCATGAGGTTCACACAGGCCCACCTCTCAAGCCTGTCAAAGTTCCTCTGAATGGCATCTCTTCCCTCCAGCGTGTCAACCACACCACACAGCTTGGTGTCGTCGGCAAACTTGATAAGGGTGCACTGGATCCCACTTCCACGTCACTGACAAAGATATTAAGCAGCACCAACCCCAATACTGACCCCTGAGGGATGCCACTCATCACTGGTCTCCACTTGGACATCGAATCCATGTCTCTCCAATTTAGAGACAAGGATGTCATGCGGGACTATACCAACACCAGATTCAACACCACCCACCCTTCCTTACCAATAAAAAGGAGGAGGACAGCTGCCATGACTAGGAAGCAGAATTTCTTGCCACTTCTCCAGGGAGTAGGCCTGCTGGCATGTAGGTGCTCTGGTCTCCCAATCTCCCCTCCTTCCTCATCATCAGCAGACAGCTTCATCTCCACATGGCTGTTGTCTCCATCTGTTTGCCGGGCCATGCTGAAGCGCGTGTACGACATTGGCTCACCACCAAACTGTGTTGAAAGACAGTTATGCAATGGAAGAGTTTGTTACACCAGCCTACAGTCGTCCTTGCATCCAGCTGCACCTATGCTCCAAACCAAATACAGCTTCTTCACCTGAAACTGCTCCAGAGCAGCCCGAGCGTTTGGCTGTCAGTAAGTCAGTCTGGCTGCTTTGAACAGACAGTTGGACTGAGACCCAATCAGGGTCTCCTGAGTCTATGTAGCATCTCTTTGCCCTACACAAGTTCAGAGCCACACTGGTCAGAGCCCAGCTTGGCATCGGCAAAGGCTGATTAAAGTAGAAACTTCTGGTCTTAATCAGCAGTGCGCTGATCTGACCTGAACATGTGCAACTCACACAAAAGGAAACTTTGATCAGGACAGAAGAAAGGGAACACAACCCCTCCATGGCTGTGCCTTTCAGCACACTTTGACGTAAATGCTCTCATCCAGCATCTAGATAACCTTGTATTAAACTGCCCCAGGCTACTTTTAAACTACACTATTGATGAGCATTATAAAGCAGCTAGGCTGAAGAGAGATGACCCACGGGAATCCTGCTACCTCAGCTAACACGAAAGCTGAGGATACACCTCCCACATCCACCAGCAACTGGAACCGTTAGACAGGTCTTTATCAGTGGCCAGGCAGAGCAGCTTCCAGCCTGGAGCTTGCTTTTCTAAGCGGCTGCAACGCACAGTCCAACCGCCGACAGAACAGCAGCCCATGCGCAAGGCAGTCGCTCAGATTAACAAACAGTTAAACTCAATTCCAGGCGTAGTCAGGCACTGAGCAGAACCACCCAGCTTCTATTAGTGCCCTGAACTTGCCTGCGGCCACAGTTGTGCTGGGGACAGGCAGGAGGCTTGCCAAAAGGCCAGTGGCATAGCTTTGGGAGCAACAGTCCCGCAGCCCCTCTCCACTGTACTGGAGAAGCAGATGGCAGCAAGCGCCCAGGCCCTGTTACGACCTCAGCTGCTCATCCACAGTTCTCAGCTTGCTATCAAACTGCAAGTCAGCAGCTGGAGGTGACGACATCAGACATCAGCTTGGTCAAAACAAAACCAAGGCCGTTTCATACTTGCAGTTCTATTCCAGTCCACGCTACCCACAGTGAAGTGGCTGGCTGCTCACATTTCGTAAAGGCCAACACCGCAGCCCATCCTAGCAGTCCCCCTGCTCAGCTGCTTGATAGCTTGGCTTCCCTCACACTTTGCAGAGGACATGCCCCAACCCCACGTATCCTCCATGCTTGTTCAGAGACCAAGCCATGGTATTTGCAGTCCTAGCCTAGGGCCATTTCACAGTCCAAGCTCTCTAGGACCAGTAGGGTTGGCTAAGGAAGCTCAGAGTTACCTCCTCCTGCACGCTTGTTTCAAAGCGCAGGTCGCATTCAAAGGCTGGACTTGTGGTTAAATTCTCACCCCTAAAGTAACATAATAGAACACATGTTGATTGCCCTGGTAGGCATTTAATCAACTTCCTCAGCTGCACTTTCTCCTGGAACATTGTTCAAGGCTTGCCCCTCTTCCTTATCAGCTTCCTGAGAAACCCAAGACATCACAGCAGCTAGATAACCCACCAGCACTGAACTACTTAAGCCACCTTCTTATCATGGTCAGCTAGCTACAGCAACACCTGGCTCACAACCAGCACAGCACCCAATGCTGCTTTGGATTCATCATCTCCTCTCATACCAACATGGATGTTGTTGAACATCTGCTGTTGAACTTCTGCAGTATCATCAGCCCACCAAGAGACAAATGGCACAGGGAGACTTCGTCTTACCAAGTTAGAGATTGCCGCTCTGGCATGATCCATTGCCTTCTGGAGGAGCGCACAGCAACTTGACCAAAGCCCTAGAAGCTCAGAACAGAAGTCAAGTTAGGCTGTTGCCTTGCCACTACATAAGACATTCAAGGTAAGTCACTGCCACTAGTGGAACGCTTGCAGGCATTTAGGTTGGGATGCAACTTGAGTATGCCCTCAAACAGCTACAAAATGGCTTTGAACTAGTCTTCAGGTGCCCATGGATTAGCTTTATACCTGAGAACTCTGCAAGATAACCAGGTTTTATTTGGAGATCAAAGGTTAATAGTGGCCATCTGCTGATTTCGCCTTTTGTTTAGGGCGAGAGTTCGTGCAGATGAATCCCCAGCAGCTTTGAAATGCACCTTCCAAGAGACAACCTGAGGCCCAGGCTCCCACCCGGCAGGCAGGGCATAACAGGGCCTGTATCTGGAGGGCCTCCTAAAAGCCAGACCAACTAACTCGGGGCCAGAGCCAGGGGAGCACAAAGGGCCTGCGGCCATGGCACCTGGCAGGGATGCCACCCGACCGCCCAGGGCCGCACGGTTCCCCCGAGCCCGTCACCCCGAACCCCTCACGGCCCAAAGCCCCTCCACCAGCCCAGGGGGAGGGCCCGCGCTCCGGGCGCCTCACGGGGAAGGGACCTTCGTTTCTCTGGCCAAGCAGCCCGGCAGGTGGCCAGCAACCCCAAATCCCTCAAAAACAAGGTAAAGAGGAGACGAAAAAACAAACGAACAAACAAACAAAATCCCCCAAACCACAGGAGCAG